ATATCATATGTACGTTAAAATTATTTCTATGTTGACTCGTGGATAGAACCATGAAAAAGCAAGTCATGAATCATCATTTCATTCGACTCGAATAAATATAAGAAAATAAAATTTTCAAATTAACAATTAACACGTTCGCGACGGGATGTACCACCGGTGGTACATACTTGTCTATTCTATTGGACCGGATGTACCACCGGTGGTACATGCTTGTCTTCCATGGGATACGTGTACCACCGGTGGTACATGAACTATTGTCGTGTCACAGCATTTAAATAATTGGTTACTCTAATTGACAAATTTAAAGTCTCAAGTGTAACACGAAGGAGAAAATAAGTACGTACATAATTTTGTTTGCGAACGTGTTAAACAATCTCCCGGAGATTTAAATAAATATGAAGAAAAAGATAATTAAATATTCTTAATTAATCGGATGCAAAATGTTCCAATTAATTTTTATAAATACGTTGCACTGGTACAATTTTTCTTTTTTATTAAAAAATTAATTTCCCACCGTATGTATGTTTGTTATAAATTATGTGTATTGCAAAGTGCCTGTTTCATCGCGAAATTGAATTTAATGGAAACAGTGAATTTTTCATGGAAACGACGATCCGATTTCGCGTGCAGCCTGCTCCTCTATTCTTACATAGTTTATGGTGCGCCGGGTCTACCGCGACGTCATTAAACATGCAGCACAGTGTCATCGTCTGACAGTCCGACGATGTGTCGTTGACACTGGTCACACTTCGGTTTCCCTGTAAATATGAGTCGAGAAAGTGTTTCTATATTAATGATAATTTAATTGAATGATTTTTGAACAAATTTAATCAGTAGAATGATTCTGTTGGACGAGGTGTTACATCAAGGAAAACCGTTTCCAGTGATAAGCTACTTTCGCATAGAGATAATGTGTATGTTAATGATTCTTAATAATGCAAACATGAAAATAATGATTTTTTATTATTTATAAATTCTGTCAAGTTTTTTAATAATTTTTTGAATACTTAGTATTTCAAATTTTGTGAAATATACAATAGCTTCTTTTTATTTTGTTTTGTAGGTTATGTTTCTTCTTAATAATGCAGACATGAAAATTATGATTTTTTATTAGTTATAAATTCTGTCAACTTTTTTAATAATTTTTTGAATATTTAATATTTGAAAATTTTTTAACAATTTTGTAAAATATATAATATTCAAAATTTGTTTTAAATAACTTTGTAAAATATTTAATATTGAAAATTTATTTTATTTAAAATTTTGTGAAATATACAATAGCTTC